AAAACGAAAGAAATCGGCAAAAAAGTCCGGCCGGGAGCGTATTTTGCGATCGACATTGCGACGGCTACGGACGGCGAACGGATATAAACCGCACACCGGCGGCTTCGAGAGAACGCGAGCTACGCGAATCAAATATGAATATGAGCGAAAAAGGCTAGAAAACGGTCGAAATCGTGTAAAAAGTGTAAATTTCGAAAATTTCGAAAATGATAAGAAAAGAAGTGATAACGCGGTTATTGCCCGCCGCAGAATCTAAACGTTGCGATTGGCCGGGCCGGAAAAACGACACAAAAGTCGTCTATCCCCGTGGACAAAACTGGGGACTAACCTCGTTTTATAATATAAGAGATTTTACTAGCCCTCCGGTCCTCCTAGTGTTTGTTTGTAAGTGAGTACCGATTTCGGAGACAATGTCGTTGGAATTATAAAAATCACAAGGGTTGTAAGTCAAAAGTTTAGGATTAGTGATATGGATTGGAGATAAGGCTTGGCGCATTGGCAGGAATATTTAAAAGCACAGAACAATATAGAATAGACACTCGATCAGCTGTGAGGGTTTACGTATCCCTACGGTATGATGTATTGGACTATAAAAGTTGTACCGTATCCGTAATCTGATAGAACGTTAGCAACGTGTATCCTTCTTTGTTACGGAATTTTTATAAACGATTAATAACGATAAATAATTTATTTTTCATATTTTAAGTATATCAATATTAAATTTTGGTAAAATTAATAAGGATTTTGTTTTAATATAAATTTAAAACTATAATGTAATTTTACATTGGTTTATTGTTAATGAAATAATATATTGTATTATTATTCTGTGGACTGATAATATTGATATGATTTATTTAAATGATAACATATGCCACTCCTCCTTAGAGACCGTGCTCAAGGCCACAGTCAACCGATTTTGAAAATACACAGAGTGTCTATACCCTGTTAAAAGTTTGATCGTCTAGCAATCCGTCACAAACATTGTAAATAGATACGATCTCCAGGATCTCTAGTCAGCTGCTTTTGGTTGTTGAAATTATTAAAAATTGTAGTATCGATATGTGTATTTGATTGTCTAGCTATCAGTCATCAAATCACATAGGTAGGCAATCCGACTGCATCGGATCGCGGACAATATGTGAAGCGTATATTACCAGGTATGCAATCCACCTGCGGTTGGTGTAATACCGTGCCCCGTTGTATGTCCTGTTCTGTTTTGTTGACTTTATAAGAAATTAGGAATTGCGAATAATTGTAATGGAATGTCTAGCTATCAATCGTCGCTGTATGGAAATCTATGAGTTATAGGGCATTTGTGTATGGCGGATTGGATACATAACCCGGGAACAATTGCAGTTTAGCTCCCCCGCGCTATTTTGAATTTTTTTTTATCGAAACTTATGTAACTTATCGAGTTAAGAACGATGGTGCTATCAGAATTTGTCGCTCTCACTTTGTTTCGAAGTTATGGCCTTCCAAAGTTTTTAATTTTCGTTTATATGCATGCGCGCAACACTACCTACTATATTACCACGCGGGGGACCTCAACAGTGATTACACAATTTGCGGCACTCGTCGCTGCGCTCTTCGGTGCCGTCGCTCCGCTCTGCAAATCGAAAATATCTCCCGACTTGCTATGCAACACCACCTTAAGTAGGTTACAGGGTAAGTTATGTCGTAATACAGTGTTACACAGTTTAAGTATAAAAACAACTAAAAAAGTCCTCCGGTCGCCAAACTCGAGGTCCTTGTGCGGCATTAGTAGTGTTGCGCGCATGCGTCTAAACGTAAAATCGTTAGCTTTGGGAGGCTATAACTTCGAAATTAAGTGAGAGCGACAAATTTTGATTGCATCATCGTTCTTAACTCGATGAGTTACATAAGTTTCGATAAAGAAAATTCAAAATGGAGAGGGGGAGCTAAATTGCAATTATGCCAATATAAAGTGTGAATTGCAGTAAATAAACTGTAATGATGTATAAGTACACGGGGTGAACAATTAAGCTTTAAATAATAAAAAAAATAGTACTCATTAGTCTATAAAATGCCAAACGTATTAAAAAAAAAAAAAGGTAGGATAAAAAAAGGTAAGAAAAAAAAAAAGAGTGTAAATTTGTATAGTAGTATACGCAATTCGTAAAAACGAACGTTTCGTACAGACGCTCGTGGAAGAAAGTCGCCCGAAGTCGGAGCGGAGAGCCGCCCAGGTCCACTGAGCTTTTCGCTCTTTACTCTGCCACCACGTGACAGCAGTATTACCAAATGTTACCTATTTAATTTTAATAAGCTTTTTGTCAATGCTCAACGATTTTGACAGACCCGCGGTGCTGGTAATAACATTACTAAAATGCAAGGCAAAACTAAACAGTGGAATCAATTCTATATTTATTTGCCATCGACCAGTGGAAGTGAGTACTCGTTACTTTATTATATTTTTCACTTTTTTTGTTTTTGTTTTTTTTTGACAACTTAACTAATGTTAATTTTTCGTTGTAGAATGTTTCAGTTTACAAATTGTTCGGTGACGGTGCAGGCTGCAAGCCCCGTCAACAATCAACCACCATCTTCTGCAATTGTAGCACCTAAAAGTATGTATAAATATTGTCAATTGTCATGACGTATATACGGTAAACGGGAAAAAAGTCCCCGGTAAGAAAGTCCCGCGGAAACAAAGTCTCTATCATTGTAGAATAAATAAAACGATATTTCCTCTATACTGCTATATACTGGTATATCTATGTTTCTAAATAAATTGGGTTGACAAATCTTATATATTATTATATGTTTAAGATATTATATTATTTTCAATAAATTTAAAATGTATTTAATTATGTATATAAATACTTATCTACAATAATTTTTAATCCTAGAAAGGTATCTATTTAATTTAGTTGATTGTTAATAATTTTCAATACAAATATGTAACATGTTTTACCTATGGGATATGTACTTAATAAATACCTATATGATAAAAGACAGAATTTAAATCAAATAGAAATTTGGAGACTTTTATTTTCCGTGAGACTTTTTTACCGGGGACTATTTTCCGGGGACTTTTTTTCTTACATATAGACCTATAAACTAATGGATTGCGCCTCCCTCACCACCCACCCATCAATGAGTAACGCCAATATAGAGTGAGTAAGAAGGAACATAGTGGGGGAATCTTGATGGAATTGTGGTGATACGCGATCTTATCACCACTTTGCTCTCGCCGACCGAGTTACCACCCGCTCCGCGGTACCAACCATATTTGTATTATTGTAATATTGTCATATGTGATTTATTTTATATTCGTAATTATTATATACAACTTCTGTGATTTTTTTATATTTATGTTCCTACGCAAATCGATCTCGCGTCTCCGATTGGCGACGCCATCTCTATCGCCCCCGACGCGGCCGTCCGACCGGCCGACGTCGTGTTCTCTTTGCACACAGCCCTCGACCGAGCCACACGTTTTCGTCCGACCCACGACACACGCCCGACGCCATGCTTCTCTCGCAACGGCAATCGACTCGAGTAGCGATAAGATCTCGAGGATCATCGTGTACCTCGACTCGCCCGACCGACCGAACTCATGTCACGACGACGTTCTCGTCTCGCGACGTAGCGCCACGCTCCCTCGATTGCTCGTGCATCGAGCACACCGAATGTTCTGGTTTCAATATACGACTTTCGACACAACCGCGTCAACCAACTACATTGTGTGTTCTTTCATTCAAATAACTAAACTTTTGTACCTAATCCTTCCTGCAACGGAGTCAGCAGCAGAACAAAGCGCATGTTAGGACAGTGCTGTTGCCCCAACCGACGCAGCGTCAACCACGACGATAGGGCAACGCACGTGTTGCTACAGAATCATATAAGAGAAAGAGAGAAAAAACATAATGTGGGAAATCATAGACTTACGAAACTAATACTGTATATTGGACCTCTTACCTCTCTCTCTAAGCGTTGTCCATTAGTTTATAGGTCTATGGATAAACATGGGAATGTTGTTCGCTTTTCTTTTTCAGAATGCTACAATTGCAGAAAACCTGGCCACCTGGCCCGCCATTGTAAGTGTATTTTGTGTATTATATATATGTGATCGTAGGCAATGCATCTAAAATATTATTAATTATGCAGGCAGGAGACCAAAAGTGCAGAGGGACCGGTCCCCCCTCCGGCGGCGAGACCGGTCGCCTTCCAGACGGCGATACGGGGCCTCACAGCGGCTGCGGGACTCGGTCCCCCCGTCGTTGGGGAATGGTGCCGGGCCGGCTTCGCACCAGCACTCAGGCCATGACCGTGGCTCGAGTGCTCTTTCATCTATGGGCCACGATATGGCCTCCATGAATGTAAGAGTGAGTATAATATTGTAATATATTTGTAATATACATGTTAGTTATAAATGTTTTTAAATACATTGTTTATAGGATGACGGCAAGCTAGTGGTAAGCTATAAAAAGTTCCTGTGTACTAATTTTTGTGTTCTTTTTATTGTCTAATTCTAATTTGTGTTTGTATATATTTTCAGAATGAATAATCTATAAATTATGTAGAAATATATATATAATATATAACAACAGTTATTTTTAAGTGTTTTTTTTTATACATAACTGTTCGAGCGCCGCAGTCGATGTATAGCCAATGCGTCTATGAACCGGTCGTGCCGTCCCCCGCCCGTCTAGCATGCTGTCACCGATAACGCACGTCCGCGTAGACCCCGTAAAACGTTGACCTAATTTAGTTACCCAGCGACCTTTGTCAACGCACGGTCCGTCGTTGTGTCGTTGCGCTGGCCGATCTACGGTTCCGCGTTACCTTTGTGCTTGTGATCGCGACTTGATTTGCCGTTCACGCGACGCGTGCCGCCATATCACCGTAATAATATTATTATATTTTATCCGTCGCTGTAACCTCCATAGGCTGTGTTTCGCCGCTACGTTGGTCGTATTAGGCTAGTCGCTGACTGGCAATTTTCAGTTGCGCGATAGTTGCGCAATAGTTGGATCATGACCGCGCTCACAATTGCAACTAAACTATCGTGTCATACTAGAAGCGCGCACAAGGCACAAGAATTGTTTAGTCGCATCATGGATTTTGTCGAGATAGCTGCAGTATGTGCTCTCGAGTTAAAAAGAAGGAAGACAATAAAAAAGAAGAAGAAATATTGGGTACATCCTATAACTTCACAGCGATTATTGAAAGGACAGTTTTATAAACTTCACAATGAATTACGGTCTTACCCGGTGAAATTTTTTAATTTTTATCGTATGAGTGTTAAAAGTTTTGATGATCTTCTAAATTTGATACGACCTTCCATCACTTATCAAGATTCAAAGTGGAGAAAGGCGATCCCTCCTGAAGAAAGGCTTTCTGTTACCTTAAGGTAAGGAAATAATGTTTATTAACAAAAAATTTGTACTTTAAAAAAACTTAATAGTTATTTAACTAAAACTTAATACTTTTAACAAAAAATTTGTACTTAAAAAAAAACTTAATAGTTATTTAACAAAAACTTAATACTTTTAACAAAACATTTGTACTTAAAAAAAACTTAATAGTTATTTAACTAAAACTTAATACTTTTAACAAAAAATTTGTACTTTTTAACTAAATACTAAATTCATAGACTGCTAAAATTATAATGTATGCATATCTTCAAAATCAAACTGCAGGGGCGTAGTGGATTCATAACCGCTACAACTTGGAACTGTGTTAGGAGTCGACGATCCAGAAGAGTAGTTTCCTGTGTTGAAATTTTGAAAATTACGTTGTTGATTTTGATGTGAAAATTGATTTCCAGTTAATCCATGAAATCCGTAGTTTGAACTGGTACCGTGGCCAAGAGGCCCATTGTGAGACGCTTCTGGTCTTGAAAGAGTAATACGTTTTAATGTGGAAAGAAACTCCATTTTTGCATCCATTTTTTGAGTATCCGTCAATTTCTTAAATGCTGGCACTAATGATAAAAGAAAAGATTTATCTTCATCAATAACTTCTTCCTTCTTTTCCTTTAAAATGTTTAACAGAGATTCCTCATAACTCAGATTTTTTTTTGCTACTGATTTGCCATGGCTTGCTGATTTTTGAGCTTGAAGTGTGTTTACAGGGGAGTCATCAACAGATATATTTGTTTCTTTTACAACTTCAGAATCGTCTTCACTTCCTATTTGGTCTTCATTTATATCACTTGGGCTACAATCCGAGACGGTTGGTCGATCTTCCATTGTCGGAAGGAGGAATAATAACTGGTCAAAAAACACGTATTTTCGACGTTTAGTAGCAGCTTGACCGGATTTTCCATGTTTTTGTTTGCTTAGTTCTCTTCTAAAACATGTTCTCAAGTTTCTCCATTTATTTTGCAGTTCTTTTCCTGTGAACGAAATAAAAAAAAACAATAAAACCTTGAGTGGTTTTATAAATAACAATATATTTGTTTTCAATGTTGTTTTTATCAATGTATTATTCCATACATATATTTACTATTTTCGAATTTTCCATAGGTACCTTGCAACAGGAAACAGTTTTAGAACTTTATACTTCGAGTTTTTAATTGGGGAGACAACAATTAGAACAATTGTTAAAGACACATGTGAAAAGATATGGATGTGTCTTAAAGAAAAATACATGCCTGAAAGAACCGAAAGGATGTGGCACCAAATTGCAGAAAAATTTGCGGCAACAACACATTTTCCAAACTGCCTGGGGGCAATAGATGGCAAACACATTCGCATTCAAAAACCATGTAGTACAGGTTCAGAGTTCATGAATTATAAAAATTTTTTTTCTGTGGTTCTTATGGCTGTTGTAGATGCGGAATATTGTTTTACGTCAGTTGACATTGGATCATATGGTAGTGCTAGTGATTCACATGTGTTTGAAAGATCAAATTTTGGTAAAAAACTAAACCAAGGTAAACTTAAAGGAGCACACAACACAAATAAAAAAATTCTTTAAATTTTTTTTAAATGTTAAATTATTGTAGTTATGGTCATATGAAATGATTTTGTGAAGATACGATGTAAAAAAAAATATTACTTTAAGAGATATTAAGAGATGTAGAATAGCCGCGTGACGTCACTGGGCCGGAGTCATCGTAATTGCCCATCTTATACGTGTAAAAGTTCCTTGCTTCACACAACGATTTATCAACCTAAACATTTTCTTTTGAAAATTTAATTGACGTATAAATGTGTGGTTTTATGTGTTTAAGACGATGCAAGAATCAGAATTTCAATATGACGTTTAGTTTTTTAAGTATTAAAAATCTTAAAACAGACATTTTTGTTAAACGGCACGTCATGGCGAGCAGCGCGCGGCGGTCGGCGGACCCGTTGTTCGAACGCCACGCGCCGCTTGCCATGACGTGCCGTTTAACAAAAATGTGTTTTAAGATTTTTAATATTTAAAAAACTAAACATCGTATTGCAATTCTGATACTTGCATCGTCTTAAACACATAAAACCACATATTTACATGTAAATTAAATTGCAAAAATAAAATGTTTAGGTTGATAAATCGTTGTGTGAAGAGAGGAACTTTTACACGTATAAGATAGGCGATTACGATGACTGAGGCCCAGTGACGTCACACGTCTTTTTTCAATTGCTCATAACTTATTGAATAATGTGAGTAGAAACGTAAAACCTATACCATTATCCTTAGAATTGAACATTCTTTCAAATAAAAAAAACTTATTTTTTGTGTTGTGTGCTCCTTTAACATACCACCTAATCAGCCACTACCAAACGATGACACAGGTGTTCCAATGCCCTTTATTTTTGTTGCGGATGAAGCATTTGCATTATCAGATCATGTACAACGGCCATTTGGGCGACGGAATTTAACTATAGAAAAAAAAATTTATAACTATCGGCTCACTAGGGCCAGAAGAATGGTCGAGTGCGCATTTGGCATCATGTCCAACAAATGGCGAATACTTCATAGAGCATTAGATGTGAACCTTTCATTTTGTGACGCAATTATTCAGGCTTGCTGCATTCTTCATAACTATGTACGCCAAAGAGACGGTGTAAGATTTGAAGATACACTGTATGAATGCCTCCTGACAGAAATGAACCCAACGAATGTGCGTGGCAATCACATTGGTACAACGACAAGAGAATATTTCGTGAAATATTTCACTTCACCCGGGGGATCAATTCCTTGGCAGTATGAAAAAATTTGAACAGTTCAAGTTTCAATAGATCATTAAGTATTAATAATAATTTTATATGTAATATTAATTAATTTTTTTGGAAAATATAACTATAAAATACAATAAAATTCTCAAAATTTTAATTATTAATAGTTACTTTGTTTTGTTACATTACCTTTTAACGATTTTTCACTTGAAGTCATTGCTTGCCACGTAGGAATCATTGTTTCAAATATTTCACTCCAAAGTCGCAAAATTAAGTTCCGGTCTGAATGCTCTGGAAGTTTTGTGTTATATATTGGAGGTCTACTTTGAACTGCTTGAATAAATCTTTCTACCCAATCACCATCATTAACAAATTCTAGAATATAAAAATTCAAAATGCATTTTGTTAACTGTAATGACTATCACATGATATCTGCTATTTATAGAAATTATCATGTTTTGACACATAATAATATTTGTGGCAAAATCTGATAAATGGTTTATCATAATCTGCCACAATCAAATTCTGTGTTCCGTATAGATAGTTAATTTGTATAATGCTTATAAAAGTAAAACTAACCGTTCCAATGATATCATTTTTTATCACAACAATATATATTGACCTATTACTTTCATATACCATAAAAACCCCAAAATCGATAGTTTGGCAGATATCAGCTTCTGCCTCTTCAGTTCAAATATAATAATACATAATATATTACATAAATGTAAAATAATAATATACCTCATTAGTGATGGGTCAAACCCTGATTTTTTAAATCTAACCAAACCGACCGAACCGAATCTAGAATCATTTTAACTCAAACTCAACATTTTTAGCATGTGAAAATGAAATCAACCATAATACCAATTATATTTTGAGTTTTTGTATTACCTATTGTAGAAATATAGAATGTATATCGAAATTAGGTTTTTATCAACAATACAGCCGCGGTATCGGAATATTACCATGGCCTTACCCAAAATAGATTTTTCCCGTTACAATAAATATGATAAAAACAAAAATAGCAATTATTGGTAATTAATTATTTTAATTAAATAATTTACGGCCTCTAAATAGTATTATTATATTATTATTTCTAAATAGTAAATAGTCATTATACATTTTTTTTAAATAACTTTTGAAGAATTTTACAAAATATTATGTTTGGTCTTTGAACAATCGAGGCATTTTTGCAAGCCGAGTTCGAATTTCATACCGAACTGTTCAACCCATCACTAATAATAATGTATAATAATAATATAACACACAGTATTAATATTAATATTTATATTCTAACTAAGCATTATGACAAAATAATATCGATTATTAATTGTTAACATTATTATAAATAAGTATTTTTATGCAAAGCAGACAATTTCTATTTTTTTTTAACATGTAATAGATTAGATAGATAGGTAGTAATTAGTAAAATATTTTTAATAATTACCTTGCTGGACTTCACTTTCGTTCATGTTTGCACTTTGCAGTGTTAATTTTTTTTTTAAAAAAGCGGAAACGTGAACCTCGCAACTGTTTGATGACAAGTGAGCTGAGACCCGTTAAAAGATAATGACACAAAACAATTACATGTAATCACGCAATCGAACGATTTGTGGCAAAACACAAACTAATTAGTTGGTCAAACTGATTAGTTGCATGTGAGCTGATTGTCATATATCACTGTGGAAGTCACCCATGCAATTAAACTATTGCACAACTATCGCGCAACTGAAAATTGCCAGTCAGCGACTAGCCTTATTGTTTTCGATACGGTGCCCGGTCGTCCGACATATATATTATATTCACGAGTTGTTCGTGCGATCTGTGCTGATATTGTCATACGGCCGCTGTTTGGTTTGGCGAGCAGCTGTGAATACGCGTGCCTTCGGTTCTGATCAAACCGAACCCACACCAGCAGCAGCTGTATTCTCTGTTATACGTCATCGTAGCCGCCGCACCCCGTGACAAGTGCTACGTGTGGACTTAAACTTCAGTGGTCATATTGTCGCCGTACCTATTATCAAGTCGGAGTTGGCAACAGCCAAGTCATCCCCAACGGTCGCAGGAGACGCGCGTAATTATTATCATACCTTGTGTTGTATTATTATTTATCATAATCATTTGATGATTATTCTATGTTATTATCTATACTTTGTATTTTCCTATTGATTGGTACTGAGGCGCCGGTACCAAATCACTAGCCATTGCTTCTATTATTATTATTTCGTTTGTATTTCATCAAT